AATTAAAGCGGAGGAGTACAGGAGAACGGAGACGACGACGCGGGGGACCCGACTCTGAAGGGAAGCGCTGGAGGGGGAACGACCTGTCCCTGAGGGGAAGAGAGGGGAAGGACCGGCCCTGAAGGGACGCGGGGGAAGAGGAACGGACACCGGGCCCTGAGGGGACGCGGGGAGAGGGGGGTGAACGACCCGTCCCTGAGGACAGGCCCCAGCCGGGAGCAGCGCCCGACCCTGCAGCGAGGGGTCCGGCGAGGCCCAGAGACGCCCCGGGGCGGCCCCTGTGTCCGTCGGGCCGCAGGGCTGTCCCGGCACTCACCGGCTCCACGGGACGGAGGGATCACCCCGGCACTCACCGGCCCCGCCGCCCCTCCGGCCCCGCTTCATTTAACCGCCGCTTCCGCCCGGCCCGCGCCACGTGACCGCGCCGCCCCGCACCATAGAGACACAGCGAGGGAGGGACAGAGCGGCGCGGGGGCACGAGCGGCGCGGACGGGCCCGGCCCGGCGAACCTACCATAGAGAGAGAGGGGGCGGTGAGCCAGCGCCGCGCCACGCCCCCTGCCGGGCGGGCGGTGTTCCCGTGGGGAGGGGGCGTGGTCAGGGCTGCACGTGTGTGCGGGGCGGGGCCCGGAGGGGACTGAACTTTTTGGGGTGCTCGGCAGTGGGGGGGTCCGAGACCCCTGCGCGGGACCCACCCTGTCCCCCGCAATTCTGGGTGCTCGGGGAGGTCAACAGAGTGACAGGGACACCGCCTTTGCAGCGGGGGATGTCCTGCAGGAAGAGCCGAAAATTGAACTTGAGGGATTTAAGTGACTTAAGCCAAGCTGCCAGAAAAGGAGACAGCCGATCCATTGAGCTCCGCAAGATTTCCTAAGAGAAATGGGAAAGTTTTAATTGTGTTTTCAAGAGGTTCGCGTCATAGAGAAGTCCTGGAGCGGCCCCACTACAGCACAGCCCACCCACTGGAGCAGGCTACAGGGATCCTCCTCTCTCTTAGCACCAAAAGGAAAGCAGAAATCAGGAAAACTTCACAAAAAGTAGCTATGAAAGAAAACAGCAGTGGCAGTGTTTGACACAGCACTGAAGGACTGACATGATTTCCTGATCCAGGTAATAAAATTGCTCAGTCCTCCTGACACGAGTGGACAACAGCAGCTCCCTGGTCATTTGGTCATATTGTGAAATTACTCAGAGAATAAAGAGCATTTTATTTCTGCTCCCTCCTCTTTTATTTATTTATTAAACCAAATTATGGCCAGAAGAAACCCCAGCTTTCAGCATCAGGGAGGGAAGGCACTGCTGTAGCACACACCAACACTGAGCACCATCCTCAGACTTGCTCCTGTCCTTCTCCCCTGGCAAAGCAGCAGTAATTAGGAAAAAAAAACCAACCAAACAAACAAAAAAACAAACAGGAAAGCAAGGATTCATCAACATTAGTGAATCTTTCTCCAGCTTTCATTAAGGGGAAGATTTTAATTTCTTTCTCCAAACTGAGGTTTTGGGAAAATATCAGGACAAATAATGAGATAAGAAGAAAAGATATAAGAGATAAAAGATAAAAGAGATAAGAAGAAGGAAAAAAGATTAAAGTGAATTAATGAAACAAAGTGTTCTCCCCTGCAGAGGAGGACTTTCATCTGGGCAGTCCACATAAATCTGTTAAGTCAGTTGTATTTCAATACTTTGTCCACTCTTTTCCTCTGATTCCCATAAATACTGTAACAAACAAAACAGTGGCTACCAAGAGTTTAAAGTTGTGAGTTTATTGCATATGTAACAAAAATGAACATGACCTCCTGGGTCCAGCCTACTATACAATCACTGTTTATTCCAGCTGGTTCCATAACCACATTAAATAGAACTAGTATTTTTTAAATACTTTGATTTAGACATAAAATGAAACATTAGTGTACAACTTCCACAAAATAAATCTGCAATAAAAACAGTGGGAAGAATAACAAGGATAGCAGCAATACTTAAACATGACATTACAAAATAATAAATTAAAAAAATACATTATAAAGTGGTTGAAGAACAACAACAACAACAACAAAAAAAATTAACAGATTAAAACCAGATCCATACTGCGTTTCTGGGAATTTGCTGTGCCACATGGCCCCGAACCTGGGCACTGGCTCCAGAGGGCCCAGTGGCTGGATCAGTAATTTACAAAATCTGTTGGATTTTACAACCACCTCGACTTGAACTGAGGACAAACTGCTGAGCGAGCGCCGATGGCACCGTGTGGAGCTTCGAGCAGCCTTTTTGGAGCAGGGTCTTGTCTAACATAATGCCCAAGTGAACACTCACACCCATCCTACAGTCTCGTTTCCTCCCGGTGGAACACACGAGCAGAGTGGTGGTTTCCTACATCCCTGAGCGTAGAGTAGAGGCAGAGGAGCAGTGTCAGGGCACTGCTGATGGGGTTTGCCGTGGGACAGGAACGACAGACACGCTGTACCTTCGATTTCCTTCGGGTCAGATCCAAGAGTATCCGCGCACAAGGTGGAACGTGGAATGACAAAATGAACACGGGACTCCATGGTATTCTTTGGGCAAGTTTGAGAAGTAACAACCAAGTTCAAGTGCTGGCAGACCGAGTGGGAATGGACATAGAAATTCACACAGCTGAGGTTATCCCAGACCTCTGAGAGCCACTGGCTCAAGCCACGCTAACTCCTGTTGGCATTTTGTCCTTGCCTGGCCATGGCTCCAAAGCCATTCTGCCTCGCTTCTTGCTGTTCCTCCATCCACCCAAGCTTTAAGGCCTGCCTCAAATGCATGTACAGAACAAGACAAAAATGTCTTTTTCGTCACTGAAGTGGCACAAAATTGCAAAGACAACATGACGGGAGAGGTGGTGAAGCTGTTGAAAAGAGAACTGAAATAATTTAAAAGACAGTGCCCTATTCTCGTTACTGTCAGCACAGAGGAGGTACCTTGACAAGGGCTTTTAAATACAGCAAAAAACAGACGGACTTTTCAAAACAACAATCCTTGCCTATTCTTATTTTGTGCATTCAATAAAACACTGACCTAGCAAAGACATTAGGAACTATCTTATGTCAACTGGGTTGTTGACATAAAGCTACTTGACCTATAGATCTCCAAATCAGGGGCCTTTCCCTTCACCTTGCCTGGTTTGTACTGAGCCAGTTGTGCTGCAGGTGTGACAGGATTTTTATCAGGGGTGGGCTTTAGTATCTGGGTTTGGGTTTTAACACTTTTTTTAGGGAAAAATCCACATGAGACTGCATGCAAAGCTTTTGGGCAATAATCCATTTTGCATTTTTCCTATCTGACTGGTTTATTGCACATTCAAACGTACTGAAAGGATTAAATACACTCTATGAACAGCTTTGACTTCAAAGCAATTTGGAAAATCTAGGGTTGTGGAGACTCTGCTACTCAGCCCGGGTCTGTAGGGATGCTGTCTGCCAACTGTTGCACATCCCAACAACCAGAATTGCAGAAACTGGTCTCCAAGTGCCAAAAGATCCCTACAGAACATGGGGCTGAACATGCCTCTCCTATACAGTCCTGCAGGATGAGCATCTTTAGCCACCCTGTGCAAATCTCACAATATGGTACAATTTTACACCTCTAATGAGACTCCTGACAACAAATCACGAATTATGGTCAATGGCAAAAAGAAAACCACAAACAAAAAAAACCAGAGAAAGATGCCAGGGTTTTGACAAGTGTCTACTTTCTGTCCTATCACAGTTTAAAGCTATTACCAAATTCAATTTAAAAAAAGAAGACAAAATAGAAGTATTCCAGTAGACATCTCCTAAGGAATTTCAATGCACTATTCCACAGACATAACATCTGTTAAGTGTTTCAGTCATGAATCTCTCTAAAAATCAGGTTTGCCAAAGGAAAAAAAATCCTATACAAGCAAGTCTGCTTAAGTTTAGACATATTTGATAGATAACTGAGTCTCTCTGAAGCCATGTTATTTGTTAACATACCTCATCCTGGTGTGCAAACTGGAAAAAATGTTAGTGATTCAGTGTCTTAGGTTACAATGTAAGATGTAACCAAAAGTCTGTATTCCACTACCATCTGTTAAAAACAAGTGGGGCACTGTTCTTATCTCTTCCCTTATCTTGTTCTTATCTATTCTTCTTGTCTATATGACACACCCCTGATAACTCCCTCCAGGAGTTATCTTCTGTTAATGGCCCATCAAGCCTCACTGCATGACTCATAAAATTACATCATCCCATTGTGAGATGCTCTGCCCAGCAGGAGGAGCCAAGCATTCCTACCTGGATATAACCTGAGCTTTGGAACACCACAGTAGCCTTTACCTACTGCATTCCCAGAGGACAAGGGCTCCACAACCACCACTGCACCTTCAGAGGAAGAGCAAACCCTTCTACAGGATCACTGCTTCAAGAGAAGCACATCTGTCACTCCAGGGCTGCAGCCACCACTCACTCAGACTGTCACCACCCCCCTGACCAACAGGGTGTCAGCTCCTGTCCTGACTCTCTCCTCAGCTCGCCATGGCATCAGGCAGCGTGACAAAGACCCTGGAGTTCCGTCGGAAATGGGACAAGGATGAATACGAGAAACTGGCAGAGAAGCGGCTTGCAGAGGAGAGGGAAAGGAAAGATGGCAAACCAGCTCAGCCTGTCAAAAGAGAACTTCTGCAGCCCCGAGACTACAAAGTGGACCTGGAATCCAAGCTGGGCAAAACCATTTTCATCACCAAAACTACCCCTCAGTCAGAGATGGGAGGGTATTACTGTAACATATGTGACTGTGTGCTGAAAGATTGCATTAACTTCTTGGATCATATCAATGGCAAAAAACACCAGAGGAATCTGGGCATGTCCATGCGGGTGGAGCGCTCCACACTGGACCAGGTGAAGAAACGCTTTGAAGTGAACAAAGAGAAGATGGAGGAGAAGAGGAAGGACTATAACTTTGAGGAGAGGATGAAGGAACTACATGAGGAGGAGGAGAAGGCCAAATCCTACAAGAAGATGAAGCAGAGAGAGAAGAAAAGGCGGGCAGAGGAAGATTTGACCTTTGAAGAGAATGATGAAATGGCAGCTGTGATGGGTTTCTCTGGTTTTGCCTCAACAAAAAAGAACCACTGATCAACTCCAGACTCTCCTCTTTCTCTACAGGGAACTCTGGATAACATCTCCCAGTAGAAGTTGGCTGGAAGAGTTGGAAAACAATTCCACGCTCTACCTGTGCTGCAGATCAAGCTCTGCCCCTCATTAGTTTCCCTTTTCCTTCTGTGTACTAGGCCTGGCTGCTCAGCTGCCCTATGGCTGTGTGTGAGCAGGGAAGTGCTCTGTTGGGTATCCTTTTTTGTCAGTAAAGTACAGTCATTCTGCACAGGTGGTCTGGTTCCTTTTCTTTTGTGTTTTATGCTATAATTTCAGTATCTTTAGGGTAGGGGAGAAATTTTTCCCCACGACTGGTCTAGGATAGAGCCAATGGAAAAAAGGTGCGTACAGTTTGCCAGAAACAAATGGAGCATTTTATTGGGCCCATGATGCCTCTGGTCATCAGGGACAAGATGCAATGTACTGATGGGCTCGTGACTGAGGGGTGGACTTGACCACGGACAGCATCTCACAGGTCACCCACAGCTGTGAGACCTGTGCTGTAATCAAACAGGCCAAGAGGGGGAAGCCTCTGTGGTGTGGTGGATGATGGTCAGAGTATAGGTATGGGGAAGCATGGCAAATTGGCTACATCAGCCTTCCCCAAACCTGCCAAGGCAAGCACTATGTGCTGACCATGGTGGAAGCCACCACTGAATGGTTGAAGACCTACCCTGTGCCTCACACTACCCCATAACACCATCTTGGGCCTGGAAAAGCAAGTGCTGTAGATATAAGGCACCCCTGAGAGAATTGAGTCAGACAACGGGACCCATTTCAAGAATAACCTTACAAACACCTGGGCCAGAGAACATGGCATTGAATGGATTTATCATATCTCTTATCATGCACCAGCTGCTAGGAAAAGTTAAATGGTGCAAGAGACAACTCAAGACTACCCTAAAGGCACTTGGCAGGGGGACCTTCAAAAATTGGGAAGTGAATTTAGCAAAGGCCACCTGGATGGTCCATCCAGGGTCCATGAATTGAGCTGGTCCTGCCCAGTCCAAAGCCTTGCACACAGTTGATGGAGATAAACTCCCTGTGGTACACACGGAAGGTATTTTAGGAAAGACTGTTTGGATTAGTCCCATCTCAGGCAAAAGCAAACTCATCTGTGTTTTTGCTCAAGGACCTGATTACACTTGGTGGGTAATGCAGAAAGATGGGAAAACCCATTGTGTATCATAGGGAGACCTAATCTTAAGCGAGAACTGTGTGCAAGGTTTCATTGTATATACACATAAAAGCAGAGTTTAAAGAGGGTATTGATTTGGGTATGATGCAGATGGTAACAGAATGAGGGGTAGATAATGTCTCAGGTTACAATGTAAGATGTAACCAAAAGTCTGTATCCCACCACCATCTGTTAAAAACAAGTGGGGCATTGTTCTTATCTCTTCCAGGACACATCCCTGATAACTCCCTCCAGGAGTTATCTTCTGTTAATGGCCCATCAAGCCTCACTGCATGACTCATAAAATTACATCATCCCATTGTGAGATGCTCTGCCCAGCAGGAGGAGACAAGCATTCCTACCTGGATATAACCTGAGCTTTGGAACACCACAGTAGCCTTTACCTACTGCATTCCCAGAGGACAAGGGCTCCACAACCACCACTGCACCTTCAGAAGAAGAGCAGACCCTTCACTGCTCCAAGAGAAGCACATCTACCACTCCAGAACTGCAGCCACCACTCACTCAGACTGCCACCACCCCCTGACCAACAGGGTGTCAGCTCCTGTCCTGACTGTCAGTTTAAGCCAGTGTTTCTGTATTATTGCCTGGTTATATATACTAGCAAAGAACCTATTCCTATTTCTTCTATCTTTGTCTGAAAGCCCAGTAATTTCAAAATTATAGTAATTTGGAGGGAAAGGGGTTACATTTTCCATTACAAGGGAGGCTCCTGCCTTCCTTAGCAGACACCTCTGTTTCAAACCAAGACATTCAGGTATTGGATTTGCTTTTGTTTCCCCTGTGTTAGAGAACAAACGTTTTAATATTAGTTTCAGATATTGGAAAAAATAGCCTTATATGGCTCTCTGGAGAAAGTTTCATCCCTACAGAACTCAAGTCATAAATTCTTCCAATAGCTTTCTGTAACATTTAGAATGTATTCACTATATAGTTCCCTTTAACCTCAATCTCCAAATAAACCTTTCCCAAGGCCAAAAAATTTGAAGCAGGAGTTTGCACTGTTAACTTGAATTTTAGTGATTTCCATGTGAGTCTTAGGATTTAAAGTCACACAAACACATCTTGGGTAAAACAGTGGCACAGAAATCACAGCTTTGGGATTGAATGGATTTTTATCCTCTGTCTCCTCCTCACAAAGCTTCTCTGCAAGGTACTTACATCTGAACAAATTATGGAAAGTAATTCTGCAGGAGGAAAGAACTGTTTTCACGTGCAAAACAATTAGATTTCAGCCAGGACAACCAAAAAGAACTCACACAATACCGTTTAAGCTGTCCCAGATTCCTTCACTTTTCTCAAGGTGAGCCACAGCTTTCACTGGGAGCTTCCTGCTAAGGCAGAACTTGGATTTCTTTACCTTTCAGTTAAGTGTTCATATGGAGGTATTTTCTGCTAGAAGTTTACTTTTTAAATAGATGTTTAAAATGTGCAATGCAATTTCTGGTGCCAGTCAGACACTCTGCACCTGCTGGACTCTACAAAGGCTCAAGCTTGATTTAAGACAGACTAACCAGGTGCACCTACCAGTTGCAAGTCCTCAGCAAATTAAGCTCATTCTCAAATACACTTTGATTCTCCTATTAAAAAAGCCCCACAGGTCGCTGACCCTATCACAATATGTGTTACAAATCTAGCAGAATATCCTGTGTAACCAAAGCCAAATGCTGAACTTGGCTGCATTTCGTTTCAGGGGGGATGGAAGAAGGGGGAAGGGGGTTATTGTAACAAAGGGGAGAAAATAGAGTTGGGAACCACCAAGAAAAGCCCCGACCCTCCCCCCTAATCCACCAGCATCGGAAGGGAAACAGCCCCATCTCTAAGTTGTCAGAGTTCAGATGTTTCATACAGCTTAGCAGGAAGTTCACAGCAAGCTTCTTCTAGCTTTTGATTTGGTGGTCCATGAGCTAGCATCTGTTTCCTTTGGTTGCTTTTTCATTCCACAGCAAACCCACACGTCTCTTCCACAGCTGTCAACAGCTTCTCATAAAGCTTCTCGTATGACTCATAAGGCGGAATGTCGATCCGGTTAAAGCTGCAGGGAAAGGAACAAAACACTGATGGATCTCAAGTGCTCATCGGGGGAAAAATGTAAAGAAGCTACATATAGATAGAAATTGTAAAAACTCTCAGCTGCCTCAGTGGCCAAAGGAGACAAGTTGAAAACAACTATTTCTACAGCAGGAATGCACAGCTTAATAGGGCAGTGTTTGGGATGAGGAGGAGGAAGAGGCAGATGCAGGAGACTTGCAAAGAAAAAGCAACACATCAGGCAGGCCCATTCCCTGCCCTGCCTGAAGACAGTCTGCTGCTGCTGACACCATTTCCTGCCTCTGATGTAGCGAGATTTCTGTGCAAGGGTTCAGGCTGTGCCTATACTGCACCAACAGCATGAGCTTCCAACATCCGACATCCGACAACGCTTCTTCGTAATAAAGAAATGAAGAAATAAACTTACAGACATCACACTACCCAGAATAATCACCTCTGGAATGAATGAAAACTACAGATAGTAGAGGACAAATCAAGCTTTAAGAAAAGCAGATTATTTTGCTGGCTGCAGAGTACAGATATACCCAAGCTAACAGAGCACACTTGGAGTCATGTGTATCACATGCCTAACCCTGCTCAGGACAAACAGAGATGTCTCCTTTAAATCAAGACAAAAGGAGAGGAAGCAGAGTGTTTCCATCTTACCAAGTGTGGGCTTTTGGAAGGTTGTCTGTGTTTGCATCTATTAAATGGATGGTAAACAGTCTGGGTCCTGCAGCGCCTGTAGAACCTTAGACAGACATTCTAGTTAATGCACTTCAACAAAGCATCATTCACACACACGCATTTTGCTGTGTATAAAAAGGCAAGAGAGGAAATTACAGTTCCAGCTGCAAGCCTAAGTATGTCCTAGGCTAAATCTGTCGAGATATTTGCAGCTGATGAAAGGGATGGCAGAAGAGATAGGGCTGTTTGTGACAGTCATTTGATAGACTGGTATTTTGGAAAGCTTCTAAATTTGATATTAATGAAGCTGCACCATCAAAAATGAAAATATGTAAGTGCATGAAGGTTTTCCTTGTAAAACAGAACTAGTATTTTAATTTTGAACAACAATTTACTGTCAGCCAACAAATGGAATGTGATCAGGAGATCACAACAGCCAAGGACACTGCCACATTTTTGATAAAGACCTGCAATTTTCAGAAATTTGCTTTAAAGCCTAATGGTTTGTTGCCAAACACTGAGGGGAATACAATTCTTACATGAAAAAGTTCTTTAGTCAGCCATATATCCCTGTGCATATTTGCACGGAATGATTTGAACCTCAGAGCACAGAGCTGCAGGAGACTGACGAGCCAAAATTGACAGCAGTCAAAGCACTGCACAGTAACAGATTTACCAGCTTCCATCACTATCAGCAACAGCCAAAGTGTTCAGCAGCAGCTGAGCTGCTGACAAATGTAAAACTGCTCTCAGGCACTAAAGTTTTCAAGTGCTTGACTTATCCAGTAATATGCTGATATTTTACAAGGGGCCTGTAAATGCCACACCACTTTTATCTCTTTCTCCAACCACAGATTAACTCAGCCTCCCCATCAGTCACCTTGTAAAGCCTTGAAACCTTGAAGTGGGACACGAGTCGAGCCCGTCACGAACTGCAGCAGCCGTGCCCTTCTTTCCTCATCAAACGTTTCCACTGCTTGCCAGAACCACTTGACGATGTTGCTGTCAGCCATGCAGTGCTTTAGGCGGGTGTTGGACTTCCAGTCATTCAGGTCTATCTTATCCAGGCCTCCTATGATCAGCTGTTAAAGGATTAGGAAGTGCTTTAAAGCTCAGAGTAATTTCAGGTTTGTAGTTATGAACAAACATCCAATCACGTCAGAAAGCCTGGCATTGTTTAGGTGCTTCTCCCTTTTACCTTTTTGGTAACATTTCAAACCAGTACAGAACTGGCAGTAAATGTCTCCAGATTGGCTGCAGTGAAACTGACCCCAAGCAGTGCTTTACCAGCATTAGAACTTTCACAAGTAACTAAGAGTCAGAAGCCCATGCAAGACTTGCTTTATTAAATCTGTGCTCCCTGGAAGGTACAGACTGTCTTTAGGAGGGCACAGCACTGATCTGGAAAAAGGCTGTGGCACAGCATCATTGTCCTGCTGCAGGATTGTCCTAGAGGTGCCACTACCAGTGAATCCTGTTCAGCTTATGGGAACATCTGAGTTGCTTTGTTGTTCCACAATAAACTACAGAAACTTTTCATCTGTTTTTTGACCCCATTTGTGAGAATCTCTAACACAGACCAGACATATCACTGCAACCTCTTTTCCAGATGACACCAGGTTGTAAAATACTGTAAAAGGAAGTTGCTGCTGCCATGCATTTAACCACCTCCTCTGGTAACAACAAAAAAATGGCACTGAGGGAACTTCACCCCTCAAAACAAAACGTGTGTCGTATTTTAAATTTCCATAAAATTCCACAGTAAGGATCCAATTGCTGAGAGCTGCCCTTTAGCAGCTGCCTTGTTGTGCCAGCAAGATAGCATCCACTTACACCTGCTCATATCATTAGGGGAGTTGTGACTGTTCTGACATGGAAGATATTGAAATTTTTAATGGAATTTTAAAATCTACCTTTTTAAGGAAATGGAATGCAAGAACTTTGTGGGATTAACTAAAATGCATGACTGACTAGCACAAAGCTAATGCTTTCTATACCACAAATGATGAATATTCCACAGGCTGTCTTATTTTTTCTAGGAAGCAAAACCAGAGGAAAAATTGCTGTAACAGCAATTTACTTTGAACTATTTCAAGAAGTAGCTTTCTGCACCTCAGGATTTGATAAGAAGACAAATCAATTTCTTTTCTATATGCTCAACTCTTCTACTTCTGTAAAACAATTCCTGTGTGCAAACAGGAACAGCCATGCATGAAAAGTTACTGGACAAAACAGGTTGTGGGGTAAATAGCATGTCTGGTCTTGCCAACAATTCCTCAAACCTGCAGTGTTTTCTCCTTCTCAGACCACCTGTCTTGAGCTTTAGTCCTTGGATAGACATCATGGTGTATTTGTCCTTCCCTGTTTAAGTAGCCCTCTCAATAATATCAACCCAAAGAATGTCTAGAATAAAACTAAAAGGGTTTAGAGTTAACCAAATACTCAGCCTTCTGGTAAATAAAATGGAGTAAGTTTTGTGTTTGTTTTGCTTGTTTTTTAAATCAGTGCTTGACTGTGGATCAAACATATTACAGAACAATAATTAACGTGGATAAAACATACCTCAAGTTCCTTCTGGTCAAAAGGCTTAAGGAGGTGTTGAGGAATAAGTTCATTAAAACCTTTCTGCAGAGCCAGGAACTGAGCCTCTATTCCTCTCATGAACCGCCAGTTCACATACAACCTGCAGGGGAGAAGGAAAAAGTCAGGGGTGATGAACTGGACAGCACTGGGATTTTTACAGCAGACTTGGAAAATGCTCTTTTTACAGAGGATCTTGTTATTAATACACACATTTTGTATTATGAAAGAAGTGCTTATCCATTCCTTTTCCCATCAACAATTAATTATTGCACCATCAATGGAAAAACCGAAGTACATTCAGAACTTCATCTTCCAGGTCTCCCAGTGAAAACATTCCTGTCATTTATGAGTCAGGAATTCCCACCCAAAACACTTCCTTAGTTTCACTATATACAAAAATTCTGTTTACTACCCTCTTCCCACTACATTTGCAGGACATATTTCTGTTTGCAATACCTGACATATTCCTTCTTGTTCTCCTCTGTCACTGGAATATTCCTGCCATTTGGTTTGAGTTCATGCTGTAAAATCCTCCCGAAGGCATTGTGTTCCACACAGAACGTATGGTCCAGGACTGGTGTGATATCATTCTCTCTGCAAATGAACAGAGGCTAAACTCAGTATTTTTTGCATTTTGGTAACTCTCAGTGGTGATGCTGACAGTTATTTGAACACCTGGGGCTTCAGGCTAAACCTTAGTTACCACCTGCACTTCACACACTAGAGGAATATTGCCACCATCACCAATTTCTCTGTGGTTTGGTGCATGTTGAAGAGCCTGATCAGATATGGGATATTCATCGAATTCTAATAGAACTCAAGATACTGGATAAAACCCTATATACAGAAATATATATACACACACACACATATTTATATATATACACCCAGCAAGAATCTGATCTGCTGTCATGTATCTGTGAAGCAGAGAAGAGATCATATGTAGCAAAGTTCATCATCAGTAACTTCTTTAAATACAAAATTCAAAACAGCATTTAGGAAAAGAAATTGAGATAATGCAAAGAAGTTCTGAAGAGTCCCAAAGCTACACTGAATGATGGATCTTGTTCTGTAAGCATACAGAAGCCCAAATTATTTCCATTTATTTTCATTTTAATCAGATTTGACTTTCTTTTGAAGAAGGCTGTACTTCCCCTCAGACCTCTACCCTGAGTTTAGATTTTGATACTGTGATATTCTATCACACACATGCAACCTTCAATGATTTAGTACCTACTGCATGGCAAGGAGAGATTGCAATGAGAACTTTTCCTCAAATACCTTTGATATATTAAGAATAGTTTAATAACTTTGTACAGACTGCCACCATAAAAAGATTTTTGCAAACTCTTTGTCTAAAGCATCTCACTATTGCCAACAAACTCTACCCCATTTTCTCTACAGTGAGATGATTGCTAAATTCAGTACTTACAAGATCCAGACTAAACTTTTGTGTAATTCTGGGTCAACAGATTCCAGATCCGAGAGCTGGATGGGCTTCCCCAGCAGCTGTTTGTAAAAGGGGACTGTGAACCCCCCGTTGATATAGTGTCCATGGAACACAGCCAAACCCATGATCCGACCAACAAAATGGAAATAAGACAAATGGTCCTGCAGGGAGAGAGGAGAATCAGCCTTGGGAACACACTGACATCTTGTGGCACCCTCGGTGCTTCATTCAGTGTGAGTTACCTGCAGCCCTCGGGGCAAGAGCAGCCACCACTTTTCCTCACAACATAACCAAAACCAAAGCATTTAATGATTAAAACACTTGAACAAATCTCTGTGCATCACCTGATTAATAATTTGGATTCCAGTCTCTAGACCTCTCAAAGGGAAAAACTTGGAAAAAGAAAATCCCTGTGAAACATCCAGAATCCAAGAAGATGAGGACTCCAAAGAAAATAGCTTGTTCTTCATTTAACCATCCCAATGTATCTACTTTTGAGGAAGCAGTGTGCTTGTTTCCTTCATTTCTTTCACGTTCCTTTTAAACTAACTTGAAAGCTGAGGTGTAAATCCTATGACATTCTTCCAATCCACCTCCCTCATCTTCCAGTGCAAATGTCAGGAAATGTCATGTCAGGAAGAATTCCCTCTACTAATACAGAACTGCTGCATCAATACAAATCCTCCAGTAAGAGAAAAAGCAAGCACAGGAGCGTAGTGAGAAAGGGCAAGCAAGGGATCCATCCCTAAAAGTCACGGGGTGGCACTGCTGGGAATGTAATGCTGTGTGTACAACCACCCCTGCTCACAGTGAAGATGAATTTCATCTGTCTTGTCTTCTCAGAATCACTGTGCAAACCAATCAGTACTGAGGAGTCTCAAAGAAATCAGATATTTATCAAAAGCTATCACGTTTTTAATTTCTGAACAAAACTCCTCTGCTTCTTACTGTATAAATTTAAGACTTTAACACTTTATTCTAATTTACTCTGCAGTTTAGACTCCTTTGTGGAAGAACAGCTGTAAGAAACTGCAGAAGACATCTCTTAAAGTATGAATATTGCTGAGAAATTAGTACTTACAGGATTGATAGAAGAGTCTGGATTGATTTGCAGCATATAAATATTATCTGTGGAGTACTGGAAAAGTCCATAGTAGGGATTCAACATTTCATGGCACAGTAAATACAACCACTCTCTGCAAAAAAAAACCCAAACAAATTTAGAAGAGTGCAACTTGCACTTAAGTTTTAGACAACACAATTATTCTGATTGATCAGTTATGGAATGCTTATTTCAAAATCAGATCTTGTGCTGCCCTCCATTTGTAGACCAAAAGGGTGTGATTAACAGCCCACAATGTCCTACTCTACTCAGGGCAGACTTGGTTTAGTTTAGAAGCACTGAAGGGATTAACATCAATTAGAGAAGCTACAGCAAGCTGTTAGACAATGCCATCAACTAATTGAGTCTGAACAAGTCACACTTCCAAAAAAATCCTGCCTTTGTACAGAGTTCAGCTATTTGGAGCCTATGAGATCTGCTTCTCAGCCTGTACAGTATTCAGAAATATTAAAAAAAAAAATCTGTTGATTAGAATGAACAATTAGAATCACTGGGGATCTTCAGAAAAGCTGTAATTCTGCCAGCCTGGTGACTGCTTTCAGCAGAGGCCAGAAGGGACAGAGAACAAGTGCATTAAAAGGAGGGGCTGGGTAAATTCTCTCACCTTGTGTAACACACAAGGACAAGAGCAGAACTAAAGCTATTTCTGACCTCCCAGGTTACCATGACAAATATCCCTTTGTTGTTAAATCTGGACACCCTTCCCAGGTCCAAAATATTCAGACAGAACTATCAATTGTAATGCTTGGAAGTGGAGCTGTACTGATCTGGAAGAGTCAGTTGCAACTAATGGGCAATTATGAAAGGCATCAGGGCAACAGGATGTGACAGTGGAGACACCCAAGGTTGCCACGGGTAAGGCAGCTCAGAATGTTTCAGGTTCTTTCCTTTGTCCAGGGATTGATCACTGAAAGACACATAAGTGGGCAGCTTTTGTGGATTTGAGAAATTTCTCCCTGAATTTACACAACTCTGAGCCACCACAAAGGTGAGTATTTTTTCAGTGATGATACAATCAGCTCCTGAATTTCAGATCTGATGCCACCCACAGGGAATTATTGTCATTTTTAAGAGGTAGGCAAGTCCTCGCTAAAATTTTCGCTTTTGTTTAGGATTAGTTCATCTCCACTCCTGCTCCAACGGATCAGAGAACTCTCCTGAATGCAGCTGAGACATAAAAAAAAGGAATCCCTACCCTCCTGCAATCCATTTGTGGGAAATCAGAGAGGTGTGTTTAACAAAACCATTCCTGTGATCTGGATCTGACTTCAGGGTCTATACACTCCCTGAGAGACCTCACAATTTGAGTTGATCACACTTTCATAACTTGCAGTGGGATGACTGTTAAATCACAAGCTTCCACTTTCCAACCTACCATATAAAGAGTGAAGCTACAGCCACTGTCTATAAACTAGACCAGAAATAATTAACACATACCATTAACAGGTAACTTGAAAGGGGATGATATCAACCATGGGGCACTTAAAGGGCAACTGTAATATAAAGAGTGTCAGAAAACCCCCAAAATCTCACCTTGCTACTCCTCCATAGTCCAGGCCTTCCTCTCCTCGGAATTTCACCATAAGCCTCTTTTTCAGGTCCTTTGGCCTCATCTTCATTATCTGACGATAGGATTCCTGTACGTGCATTTGCACAATTAGCTATTTTATTTCCTTCCTATAATTAAGTCTATTAAGATTTCTCTAATACTGTAATTAAGATTTCTGCATTTCTGTAATACACAGATTGTTACTGAACTACAGAAAACATGACTCTATTGGAGTGCTATTCTGAAGCAAATTGCAATGGCAACTCCGTAATATGGTGGGTGCCTGTGAAGTTGTTATAATCACTGATCAGTTTAACTTAACTCTTCAGGGACAAAAGCTGTTGTTAGCAGTAAAAAACTATCAATCAATACCTCAAATATTTCCTCTCTGGATACTTCAATGCGACAGTGACCAGCCTGAGGTTGCTGAAGAGAGAGCTCATGTCTAAGAACTTTCAACTTTTGTACCAAGTCTCTTTCATATCTCTGTGCAGGCAACTCCTCACCCTCTTCCAATGATCCCTCATTTGGAGCTGGTAGAGGCTGCTGGCTGGGCTCTTTTAGCTGGCATTGATGGCTTGGAGAAAAAAAGGACAATATTTACTCTGGACACATAACAATAAGGAACACGTAAAAAACAATGATGGAAGAAATGATTAAGCTTCTCTAAGAGGAACACGGAGTGAAATGTGTATGGACACTTCTGTACCATCATTACATTAAATTCAGGGATGTAAGAAACACAGAAACTTCAAGAGTTTCAGCATTTTGAACTGGTTTTATATGTGGAAGGCTCTGGAGCATGATCACTGATCTTCTCCCACACAGAGAGAACTTTCCAGAGTGCACCATGGAAGGAGATCTCCAATGGAACCAAAACCAGCTTTATAAAGGGAACTAACAACTGCAACTGATTTTATTCCAGCTCCATGTCAAATGAGGCTGGGGATTCCTGACACAGTAAAAATATTGCATCTATGGCTGTTAAGAGAGAAAGATACACTTGTCCCAAATAGTTGCAGCTTCATACACTCAACTATCCTTATCCATCAGTGCTTTATTTGGGCTGTAGAGTAATTATGTTTTAGATACAGAGCCAGCCTGGCTGGCTTCAAGCTCAGGAAAAAGTCTGGTCTTGGGCACAAGCAGCACTGGCAGGCTGCTGCCAGGGTCAGTTCCTCAACAGTTCAGCTGCCTTTCCATGATGCAGAGACTGAGCTTATTAAATCCTGCTAAACCCAAACTGGCCGTGCACAGCACCCACTGAGCAGACTCCAGCTGCCTTTCTGTTCCCTTTGTCTGGAGCTCAAGGAAGCATGAAGTTAGTCCAGATCCAGAAGAGCCAGCACAGAGCTAGGACTGCTCATCCAGACAGGTATGAGCTGGCTGCTGGGAAACCCCTGGCAGACTTTCCACCCACAACCCAGCAATTCCAGAACTGTGCAGAGCAGAGTAAAAACCCCTCTGAAGAATCTCAGCAAAAAACTTAGATAAAACCAGCACTGAGAACCAATGCTTGGACCCTGACAACAGCACTGGATGCATCTGTTCCCCAGTTATCATTCGGGGTTTCAGCCCCTCAGGACTCCCAGACCTGACAGGAATTATTTATCAGGCAAAGCTCTTACTTCATGATGTGATGTAGTCGTGGATCTGTGAATTGTGTGGTTCTGTTGTTATGATCTACAAAATATATTCTTCCTGAAACTGTACTTCTGACTTCCCAGCCTGGAGGCAAAGGTCCCAGTTCATCACAATTCACACTGTTAAGGTCTCTAAAGTGAAAAAACAAACAAGATGTTAATGCATATCTGCAGTTAAGCAACCAAATACTGAGATCACTTCAAAAAATTAAAATCATCTCTTTAATTAGGTTAAGGTTAGAATCCTGGCTATTTGACTGAAAAACCACTGAGAGTAAGGCTTTAGCAACACATTCACTCACCCCTTTCATCCTGGATAAATTTCAGGTATTACTTTAAGCGCTGCTAAAGGCAGTCACTCATTTCCAGGCAGTGTCTGAATTCAATACATAAAATGTATTTACACCTAAAAAGATTGAAAATACCTAAGGCTCCAGCCACCTAACTGAGGAAAGCACCAAGAGTGGCAAGAAAAGGAAGGAAGGAAACCTAAAGACTATTTTTAGGCAGAAATCTATTGTTAAGTAAAGTATTCTTTAGACAGCTGGCATGGATTCAGGGTTGAAGACACCACTCTATGCAATTCCTCACCTAAATCTAACCAAGCAACATTTGCATAAATGAGTTAATTGAGAGGCTTTAGAAAGGTGGAAATGCTGAAGGTGCCTTAGTGTCACAGTGAGTATAAGCCAAGGGGACACACAGGCAGACAGACAAGCCCTTGCTAGGCTCCTTAAAAGAGATTATGGTTGGGAACATTTGCTGTGATCAGCTGTGCATCTGAAAGTCCTGCACAGATTTGATTACAGCAAGTTTTAACCTACATCTCTGCCTCATGCCAAGGTTAGGTTTTTGCAACACAAGCTGGTAGCACAAAAGTCACCTTTAACTAAAATAGGTGTGACCTGTGACTCACAAGACACTGCAGTGTCCATTTCCGTGGCTGCTCCTGAAATCCTGGCTCAAGGATTTGGGGAGAGGAGCAGCAGCACCTTTCATTAGGGTGACCAGCATCACTTGAAGAAGACAAAAGGCTTTGGGCACACAAGCCTGACATGACTGACACAAATGAACAATCACTGTCATTTCTTCTTCCAACAATACCAGCTAATCTAAAATCAGCTATTTTCTCTCTCTCTCAGCTTTATTTTTCATTTCCTTCCATACACTGAGCTTTTATCACCACTTTTGCCTGCAATACTTTATATCCTTTTTCTAATATCCTGTAGCACATTTTTGTATTATCCAGGCAGTGCAGCAGCTGAGAGTTACAAACTTCACTCTTGAATCTGGTGTGCAGGTGGCCCATGAAACAGCCCAGATTCAGAGCTACTCAGGAAGAGCACCAGACCTTACTCACAAAGACCTGGATTAACTGCAGGTTAACGTTTAAAGAGGCTTTACTAAATTAATCATGTGAAGGATTCAAATTTTCTAGCTGCAAATCACTGGCCTAAAGCATAAAAAAAACTCAAATAATTTCAAGGTTAAAGATAACAAGTAATCTCTCCTTCAGTTATACACAAGTGAGTACTAATAAATCAAAAGGTTCAAGTTGAATACTCAAAAAACAATTATTTTAAGAAAAAAGCCCATTTTTTCTTCAATTTGCAGTCCGAACTGTTTTCATACCAAAAAAAATGTAAGTAAGATTCAGAAATTTCTATCTTCACCAAAAACAGCCACATCAACATTTTAGGAATAATTTGTCACACAGGAATTCCTGAAGGGCTACATATTTTTTTTTTTTGCTTTTTGTTTGACATGATTCACAAGTAAATAATGCTTTCTTTCAAAAAGAGTAATCCTTAATATTTGATGAAAAGGTAACTAGAAACATCCCAAACTACTCCTCTACTGGGAGCTCTCCCTTTAAATTCAGACAGGCCATTTCACAGATCTTTGTTCTTATAAATCCAGCATCCTGCCACACAAATACACATCAAACCCCCCTGACTTTTAATTATAAATACATACCTTGGTATCCTTGGGTCGTGCCACGTGCTCACTCCAGTCTGTGTGTGCAAAAAATAAACCTGTCCCTGTACCGTTGTTCTTTGCTCTGTTAAAAAGGAGGGAAGATTATTCTAAATTACAAATCTTAAAAAAAAATCCAGATAAATAGTTAGAATATTTTCCTCCTAGGAAAAAGTACTGGAGTCATCACACTGATCTCTTGCAACACAGACTGTTTTGTCCTTGACAAATTTACTCTGACTACACATTTCAACATTCATTGGAAACTCACAGATCCATGCACCAGCATGTTTTAGTCTGTATTTTTATTGTTAGATTTTGAGACAATCCAAACCCCCAAACTAGATTTCTTTACTCCTAGATTTGGTGTGCTCTTTCCTGAGGTTTAAATTCTCCTTAATCTCATCCTCCCTAATCTTCTGTACTATTGGTTTCTTTGTTGCTTTTATATATTTTCCTGATCTTTTCTTAAATGTGGGCTCAAACCTACACAACATGCCAAGGGGGAAGGAAAAAATAGCATTACTGCTCTAGTTTAAAGAGCTCTTTACATTCGTTCTCCCTAGATACACAGCCAAGATTAGCAGAGAATTTTCTGTAACAGCATCATACCACAACCTCATGTTTAATTTACCATCAACCCCTCAGTGTATCCTGGCGTAGCCAACTGCTAATTAGCCAATCTCAAACTCCCATCTGCACTTAAGTTCCTTTTCCAGAAGGCAGAACGAGATGCACGTGGACGCTGCTTGTTCCAACAGGCAAAAAAAAAAAAAAAAAAAAACCAAACAAAAAAACCCCACCTCCACGGATTAAAAAAAGGGGAGAAATTCTTTGTGAACCCTTTCAGTTTGGCAGCTGTGGGACACTCACCATAGCCCTCGGGTAGCTCAGGTGACTGGTGGCCGTGGGGCCTGTTCTGAGGTGTCTGGACATGAGCTCTGAGCTCGGGGGTGCGGAGGCGCTGGGCCTGCAGCCTCTGCTCGTGGCTGGGAGACTCCAGGAAGCGGCAGCCGCCTCCTCCCGCCGCTCCCGTCGTGTCCGTGTACGGCGCCGGCTCCTCCATGAAGCAGCTCAGGGGCCTCCCCGGGCCGGAATCTTCATAAACCGTTCTGAAAATGGGGAAACTTCAAGAGTTTCCATCACAAGAGAAGTGAATGCAGAAATGACTTTTTCTCTCACCCCACAGCTTTGAGTATTGCAACTTTTAACCCAAGAGGTGCCGTTTTTCTGAAGGTTTTTATACTCAAATTTCTCAGCATTGGTAACAACAACAACAAAATAATCAAGTCTTACCAAATTTAGCCTAATAACCTTACTGCCTCATACACATTCCCAGAAAATATAGTAGTCACACTGATACTTAAGTTTCTAATGTTAGTTACAGTCTTTCCACACAAAAAACATTTTTCTAATTAAGTGTGAAGAAAACAATCCTTACCCTTCATTCTCCAAAAGTCCTCTGCAGTCTACTACAGAACCTCCTGTGCCTATTCTGTCCCGTGTCTGTAAACTGACTGAAAAAAACCCCACAAATTCAGGTCAATAAAAGAAAAATTGCATTCTTAAAAACAGCAAAAAGCAAAAAAATCCACATTTATACAGGGTAAAATACTAAGGGGAAAGCTCTATCCTACACACAAGAACACATTACCTACCAAAATTCCTTCTATTCTCTTAAAGTATAACTAATTTTTTAAAAAGCAGAAGAGAAAGCAGAGGGTCATCCCCTCAAAACTTGAGTTTATTTCTGTAAATGTCAAACATGTCAAGTTCTACATCTGGGTTTCATGAGGATACAGAAAGGGAAGCTGGAAATAAACTGTTCACCACTAGATGTCATCTTAGGGTGAGAATTTGGAGTTTGCCAAATATATTTATATATCACTGAAAAGCTGGGGTTGGGTGGGGGCAGTAAAACGTGGGGTAAATTTGCTGTAAAATGAGCATGGCCTTGTTGAAATTTGGAAATGGCTTGCATGAGTCAAAGGTATCAAACCAGCAACTTGTAAAATGTCTTTTAACTCTTCCAGATCCTTTTTTAACACCTAAGATTCCCTCTGCCTGTCACCTTGCCCAAATGCATCATTTCACAGTGACATTCACCCTTCCAGAGATGCAGCAGAAGCCTTGCCAGATGCATTCCCTGTTTTTAATGTTGTTTCCCATTATCAACTGAGAGGAAACAAACTCCTGCATAGGAGTATAATTAAAATTTTCAGGTTATGTAATTTAATCCTTGTAAAATAAGAAGAAACAGCCCAGAACAGGCAGAGAAGCAGTGACTAGAGGAGTTTTTCTCTATGGATATTTACCCAGCAGATGGAATTGAGCAGGGATCATTCTTACCCACTATTTGGCCTCGGACAGCATCGGTGTCTGTGGGGTTGAGTTTGCATAGATCCAAACGCTGGTCTGCAAAGGAGAATTGGAAAAAAATTAACCCTGGGAAGAGCTGGGTGGGAACATTATCCACTACTCAGGTACAAGGTATGGAGGGCTCTTGGTCAGACCAGGGAGGAATTGTTCTTACATCCAGTATCTTTTAGCCTGCTGATGGCATTGGAGAGGAGTCGGACACACCCCAGGAAGCCAGCTCCCTGTTTCTTATGGATTTTTTTATGGTTCCATACACTGATGGTTATGGAATCTGTTTTCCCAACGTATCTAGAAAGATACATATTAAAAGAGTAATTTTAGAAATAATAACCTCTTTTTACTCCACAGAACTGATGCTGTAATTGGTACAAATTCTGACACATTTTAGTACATTGGTCATGCCTCTTTATTATAAATACACAAGTGCTTATGCCCAAAATGCTGTTATTAATGAATTACTGCACAGTGATTTCACACAGCATGGGAAATTGATATTGCTGCAGCATGAATTTAACTACAGCCAGCCTCATTAAAAGCTAAACAACAAGTCGATTAACGTACAAAACTTCAAAATTTATGGCTCTAACAATTTGAGGAAAATAAATCATTCCAACAAGGACAATTTGCTGTAAAAGCTGGATGGCACTGCTCCAGGAGGGCTCACTAAACCCTTGTGCTGTGTACCTGCCACACAAATATCTCCAAATTCAAACACCTAAAAGCAAAGTACCACTCCTTTATTAACAAGGATTTTCTTCTTGAAAAAAAAAAACAAACCTGAAAGGGCAAGGTTAGGTGGGATATTGGGAAGAAATTCTTCCCTGTGAGGGTGGTGAGGCCCTGGCACAGGTTGTCCAGAGAAGCTGTGGCTGCCCCTGGATCCCTGGAAGAGTCCAAGGCCAGGTTGAGAGCAACCTGATCCTAGTGGAAGGTGTCCCTGACCATGGCAGGGGTTTAGAACTGGATGATCTTTAAGGTCCCTTCCAACCAAATTGTTCTGAGATTCTATGAAATGTGACTCTCATTGCTAACACAAAATGAAGTTGCAGGGCCAACCCTGCACTATTTGTTTAGCAGACAAATCTCTGGAATACTGTTTGCTTATGACCTTACAACCACTCACAGATCGTAATGCTGGTTCCATTTGGGGTCCAACGTGTTCTTCACAGTGTCAGTGGAATGGCACTGACCTGACCCATCCACAACTATTTTAGCAAATGGGTCAGGAAGTCCTGTGGAAAGGAAAAGGTGCTGTTAAAACAGTCTTTTGTTTTGCTGTTTCCAAGACAATGCCATTAGAAGCTCTCCCTTCAAGAAAGGACAGTTGTCATTATCCTAAAGGTATTTTAGTAAATCCTGTGTTTGGGGTGGATGCTCAGCACAGAGCTGTGGGCACCATCAGTCAGATTTTCAGCTGGAATTTGTGAGCCCTCAGTGTTTCCAACCCTGAAGTCCACACAATCCACAACCCAGAGTACCGTGTGCTCCTGCAGTAATGCAGTGCAAACGACACACGGGGATGAGCCTCCACAGTAATGCACCATCTCCAAATAAATCTGATTAATCCAGAGCAGAAAGTTACACAATTAGGACATACTTACTGAAGAAATCTTTCTTTGCGAGATTCTTGGCACATAATACTGCAAAACAAAAAAGCAGATAAAGAAATCTTAAAACTGTAAAAAAGAAGCATTCTGGTAATCATATCAGCTAAAATAAGACCTAATCATAATTCATAAAAAAACACCTAAATATTAAATGTGAGCATTGTTTTCTTTATCTGGAATTGGAATATTTACATATAAATTTGGCTTTATATTTGCTGTTTTAATTTTTGTTACAACACATAGAAGATTTAATGAACATCCCTTTGCATTAAAAACTAATTTTCTTTACTTCATGTTTACACAAGTGCTAAATCAGATTTTTTTTCTGTTTCAGAATCCATCAATTTTAGAACAGGGCTAAAATTGTTTTTTTCTGAACAAAGAGCAGTTCTGGGATTCCTGGAAGAGAGCTCTTCACTAAGTCCCATCAAATGCAGTGCAACCTCCTGCTCCTTGCACACAAAGTGTGGCTACATGGTGAAACAAAGCATGGCAGGAATTCTGCAACAGCAGAAGCAATCTGTAAATATACAAAGATTTGGGGATAAGTATTCTCACTCAGGAGAAAAATAAATATACCGAAAAAAAGATTTGCATCAAGATGTTTTCCTTTGAAAGGGCCACAAATGAGACATCGTTTCCCTCTCTCCAATTCTACTCACCAGCACAGCAGTTTAAGAAAAAATTAGATCAGGAAACTCACATCAATCTCCATTTCTACCAAGTGTATTACCAGCTACAAGTCTAATTTTGCTTTTCCATAAGGGCTGCTCAGTAGGATCTCAGCAATCCAAGTTGTTTAGTATCCATTAAACTCTTCCAACAGGCCAGGAAAAACAACTCCAGAGCCAAAAAGGAAAATAAAGGAACTCTAACTTATCTCAAACTAAGATCCAAGAAAGGAAGGCAACTATAAAAGACCTAATTACTGTTGAGGGAGTCTCCTTCCCCAGTGGGAAAAAAAGAAATCTTTCAGCATGAGAATGAAGGCTCAGAAGAGAATCAATGGCCAATTCCCCAGGTATGGACCATTTCCCCTTCTCATCTCCATCTTCTTCCTAACTTACCCTCAGTCTCACTGTAATTCTATACTGGGGAAAGGGGAGGTGCAAAGGAACAAATACTTTATTTATTTATTTTTATACATTTCTACTAGAATTACACCTCTCAGCTCCAGAGAAATATTCCCTAAGTAACACAGGCAGCAGAGAAAAATCTGCCTCACCTCAGGTGTCAAGCAAACAGATCAAAGAAATTCACTATTTAACCCAGAAGCTCGTGGAAAAAAATACACAAGTCCTCCCTTTTAGTAATAATTAAAACAGCCACACCAGGAAAGTATTTTTAGAACGGATTAAAAATTACTTATTTCTTACACCGGCAAACAGTATAATCAGAGAAAGCTTCTCTTGTATTTTTTTTTGAACAACTGATCAAACAGAGAAGTGTGCAGGACTATGGCAATTCAATTTGAAACAACACAGGATTAGAGAATCACCATCCTGTGCTCTGTGGAAGCATGACAGAGCAACCTTTAATTTCCTTTTCCTGTTGCAAGTGTTTCAGAGGAAAAACTAGTCAAGAAAGAGAGACTAAGTACAAGTAAGATCAGAACTTGAGCATGCTAATACCAGCCAAAAGGAATTCTGAAGTTCCTGTGAGATTTTAAAAATCAAATAACTCTACGTTGCCATCCCCAGTTTTAAGAATAATTTATTGGGTTAGAGAAGGATGACATCTGTAGCTTTCTGCATATGGTCTGTCCATATAATTATTACCTTTATTCTATATTTCAGGTGTGCTTTCGAAACAGCAGCTTAAATTTCTAAAGCTATTATTGAAGCATTATATTTTTCATCTAACTCTTTTCCCTTTGCCCCAGCCTTTCAGTCTACAGTAGATGAGCACAGCTGCCAATTTTCCACTCACAGCCTGTGAAACCCTCAATTTTCAGTTGCAAAAATTATTACTCTTTCTTGTAAGAAAAATATTGGCACAAAAGCTAATAGCTGAAATAAACCTTTATGGAGCAATCTCCAGAATCAGGCTGCCCGAGATGGACCATTGGCTCTGTTCCACTATTTGCATGTTAAACCCACTAGAGCAAAAAATATTTGCAAGAGCTGTATCACTTAAAAGCCACAGATTTCTAAATTCCAGTAAAAAAACAGGTGGCAAAGGTCAGCAACGGGAGGCTTGGATGTGAATCCATGCCAGCAGCAGAGCAGACAGCCCCTCCCTGCTGTGCAAAGCTGGGACTGTGCCACATTTCCTTCTTAAACACATCATCTCCAACAGGAGAGGACCTGATGGCTGCTACTCCAAGCCCCAAATTCATGGACTTGGGTAGGTTTAGCTACAAAGGCTGAAAAAGTTATTAATTTTATCCTTGGTTCAGAGAGGGTTTAGGAGAATGAGACAGACCCCAAGCTCTTTGCCCAAGCCTTGCCCAAATCCCCACTTTGCCCATTTTCCAAAGTGCTTTTTCTTTTAGTTTTTCTTGCTTTTAAACAAGAAAGGTTCTGGGCTTGTCAGCAGGAGTGATCTCCCTGCATTTATTGCAACATTACAAAAGGTACTAATTCTCCTGACTTGGGTATTTACATTCTGCCTCCTCAAAGTCAACCAACTTGTTTCAGCCTGACACAGGATTTGTTTATGCTCCGCTCCCAATTGTTGCACAGCTCTGAAGAACTTCTTTTTTTAAAACAACAGATCCCAAACAACACCGAAACAATGTCTTTACATCTAGATTATAATATTTATAAAGGGATGGGAATGTTTTTTTAAGTACCTGACATTATTGAGATAATTTCAAAGGCCAAATTAGCCAGCTGGGAGAAGTGCTAGTGTGAAAGCATATTTGGCAGGAGGTGAAGAAAGGACGGGCCTTAGACAAAGTCAGTATTCACCCTGGGGATGTAACTTGAGTGAGCTGAGAGGTTCCTCTGCCAGGCCCTGGTTGTCCACCCTGCCTCCAAACAGAAATGAATCATCTGCTGTGGTTCAGGAGGTGCCACAGGAGCAGGACTGGTACAGTGAGGAGAGCACAGAGTGGCACCAGTGTCTGAACAACCCAGCTGAGAATTGCATCAGAAAGCTGCTAATTCACCCCGAGACACCATCCTGCAGCAAGGGCAGCATTGCAGGGAAGCACAGAAAAACAGGCTGGGAGAGGAACCATTTCAAACATTCCCAAGTAAACACAGTCTGAGCCTGCATCGGCACCAGATTTATTCACATACACCACAGAATGTCCCAGCTTGGAAGGGACCCATAAGGATCACAGAGTCCAGCTCCCAACACACCCCATCCCATTGCACACTGCTAAGATGTTACAAGTGTTTCCAGCTGCACGGTGTACAAAGGACACAGTTTCCTGAGGGGTAAAGTAAAGTAAATAAAGTAAGTGATGAAAATATTCCATAGGCCCAGCCTGTACCAATGCAAAACAGTAGGCAAATGTGCACCTGGGACTGCATTCACTCACACTTTGCAAGTTAAAGGTAGGAGCCTCCATGCTCAAATTAAGGACCTTTACATGTAGATATGATCTGAGCTAACCATGGCCTTCAATTTAGTATCCAAGTTAATTTTGGAGACAAGACAAACCAGCAGTATGTCCACATCTTCCTTAGGAATGGTGAGTGGGGGGAGGTCACCGTGAACCATACAAACCCTTTCAGCCATCTCTGGCCTTCCCTTGGATATTCCAGGTTAATTATTTATGCTTGTACAAACAGACAGCCAGATTCCAGGATACATTCGTTTTACTTTGTGACAGAAGATAAACACAGGCCAGCAGGCTGATGGCGTAGAAAGGACTTCACTTAATATTTCCTTTGTACAGACCATCTTTAATCACAGAGATATCCAGCATAATCATTACAAGTACCACAGGCTGGTTGGTTTGTTCTAAGATAGAAGCAAAGAAGAACAATGAGACTTTGGAATATAAAGTAATAAAGATCTTGAAATAAAACGAAACTGAAGTTACTGCACGCAACTGGAAAATGAAGGCTGCAAAGCAGGTCAAATTTGAGGCATTCAAGTAATAGAAATATCTCTGCTAATGCCTCAAAGTCTGCATAGGTTTTGACTTGTGAACTTGGTAGCCTGTGTTGGAGATGGCCCAGCAGGACAGTCCCCTGTGTGTGCCAGCTCACTGCCTGGTTTCCACAGCAGAAATCCCACCATTCTGAAAAAGTTTTGAGAAGGCTGCATGGTAAAAATAATGTGCATGAAGTGGAAAAAAGCTTCCCCCCAAAAGGAAAAAAAAAAGCAAACATCAGCTATTCACCACATGCTGCTCCAACACCCCAAAGTTCAATTAAAATCTTTGCTGAATCTCTTATGTGAAGTCATGTCTCGTCCAAACAGTTCCGTGGATTTTGGAAAATACTCTCAACACCACAAGCCACCCCTTCTGAGCTGCCCTGAGGAACGACTCTGCTTACTGTTGTGTTCTCTGCACATAACCTTAAATGAGACTTCACTGCAGATAAGGTCTGGTTTTATTTCTACTACCAGACAACTCGTGAAGGTTTTACATGTCTGGCTTTTTTAAGGATGACAATAATTTATATGTGGTGGGGTACAAAAAATTGGTTTTATGGGAAAGGAAAGATGGCTGAAGTGTGTAAAAGTGCAGTTTCTCTACAGCTAGCCACATCACTGAACTGAAATACACCACTTTACTCACAAATTGCACTTTAAATTGTCACCACAAAGGCCAAGGTTTCTATTCTAGTCATTTTTTTGTTTGCTTTAGGAATACTTTTGGTCTTTCTCTTAGTCTGCTCCAGACTGAAATGCATGAATCCAGACGGTTTTAACTTCTCAGTAACCGAACCCGAACTGCTGCAGGGCCTGCAAGCACAAAGAGATAAACAAACCCACAGCCTTCCCTTACATTTGCCAAATAAGCCAATTAGCTGTATGGAACTAATTTCATCCTGACATGCACCCTGAGTGGCCTTCACTAACGATCTCAGCATTGTGGTGCCAATGAGATTTGCAATCTGAGACACAAA